CGGCCTGAGCGGGCACTATTGCTTGCGCGACGCATTGTTATTATAACGCATTGTGTTTTAATACAAATTGAAATTGTTCGTTTAAGAAACTTTGTCTTATTCACTTCATATTTGCCGAGTAGATTGCAAAGTCATGTGATGCACTAAAAATTAATGCCTGTTGTTGGGGCACTATGCTGTCATAGTGCCCCAACAACAGGCATTAATATATAATGGTGATGACGACTATGCTCATGAGTTATGATGCTAACGACTATGCTAACGAGTTATATCGCTCACTTTCGACAGCGTTCTCTGAGAACGGATACTACCTGGCGACGTCGCGCGGACGATTCTGTCGTCAAGCTGTGGGATCTGCGCAAGCTGAAGAACTTCAAGACAATCACGCTGGATGAGAACGCAGAGGTGAAGAGCCTCTGCTTCGACCAGAGCGGCACCTATCTGGCCGTGGCCGGCACCGATGTGAGGTAACAGTGCCAGCATCACGCACTCACTAGTGGTGCCCTCTAGGCAGCCGCCAGTACCCTGCGCGCACTAGTGGTGCCCTCTAAGCAGCCGCCGGCACCCCGCGCGCGCTATTGGTGCCCTCTAGGCAGCCGCCGGCACCCCGCGCACGTTAGTGGTCCCTCTAGGCAGCCGCCAGCACCCTGCGCGCGCGAGTGGTGCCCTCTAGGCAGCCGCGGCACCCCACGCACGTTAGTGGTGCCCTCTAGGCAGCCGCCAGCACCCTGCGTGCGCTAGTGCAGCACCCCCGAATTTCGGACGGCACCTCATAATACCAGGTCCAAATAGCTGGGGAGAGGGTAGAGCTTTGTCGAGATTTTCATAAATGGCAGTCCGTGTTGATGCGCGTTCAGTTCGCACCGACTGCTGTGTGCTGTGTCTCGCTATCAGCCGTGACCAACGCGGCGTTCCGTCATTCGTGCTAACCGTCATTCTCTCGTGGACAGGGTGTACCTGTGATTCTGCTAACCGTCATTCTTTTGTGGACAGGGTGTACCTGTGATTCGTGCTAACCGTCATTCTCTCGTGGACAGGGTGTACCTGTGATTCGTGCTAACCGTCGTTCTCTCGCGCGACAGGGTGTACCTGTGTAAGCAGTGGCAGGAGGCTGGCAGTGTTCGGCGAACACACGCAGCTGGTGACGGGTGTGAGGTTCGCGCACAACGCCCGTTTCATCGCCACCACCTCACAGGACAGGTCTCTCAGTTCTTCAGCACCTAACCACTCGCCGTGAGAGCCGACAGAAGTGCATCAGGGCTGCACCCGTGGGCAGCCAGCTCAGAGATGATGACCAGACACTTCGCTACAGGCTACACCTTGTTTATCCTGCCCTCAAGTTACTTATAATAGTTCCCAGAATCACGGCATGTATGTGGTGCCTGTCATGGTTGTAGGGCGATGTCTCTGCAACTAGTGCTGTATTGTGGGTTATTGTCCCAGTATCTAGCTATAGAGTATGTTACCTTACATATAGTATTGTAATCTGGCTCACGTGTCCCAGCAACTAGCACTGAAAAATTGGTCAGTATTTTGCACCTATGCATGTACTACGGTTGGTGTTTTGCATCTAGCAAGAGGTTACAGTTTAGTGTCTTGGCATCAGGCCACAATATATTTCACTTTGTCTTTTATCTTGGCCCATTTGGTGAAATTTCGTGTTTGATCATGATGCCACAGATCATGGTAATGCTGTGAAATAATTAGTAACAGTTCCGAATTGTCAGGCCACTCACTGATGTAGTGAGTATAGTGTGAAGTACATTAATATTTTTCTGTTCTTCTATGAGATGATAAGGACGAATAACTTACCACTGAGTAGCACGCGTGTGAGAGGGGGCGGGTTCTGCATGGCTGTTGTGGGAAAGCATTTAACAGGCACACACAAGCCACTTGACCTCGTGCGAAAAATCACTGTAACTGTACGTTAGAGTAGTCCCATGTACAGCTGTCTATACTCTAGGTAGATGTAAGCAGCTTATTTTTTCATCGTATCTCATGTACACTGAACGCAAATAAGGAAATTGCTAGCTCTTGGAACATTGGGAACGCGTGCCCTGTTGCTGTAACAGTACTTTTCATCAGTGGTTCTAATATATGAAAATAATAAAAAAATGAAATTTTAATTATATACTTTTGTGTATTTGTCAAATAGTCAAAAGTAGTTTATTCTATTCTAGTTTATTGATCTGACAATTATGTTTGGCCTGATACCTCCTGTTAGAAACGTTCACCTGTCTGTTTGCAAGTCTTGGCTCCAAGTTAATATGAGGGAAAGCTACCCTTCTGGCAGCTGTGTGTGCAGCTGTGTTATTCTTTGCATACAGTGTTAAGCGTTATAATACAATTAAGAGCTAATAATCCCTTTAGTATTATATTACTAATCTCTGGCACTATTGTTTCATAGTACCTGCGACGTTATCCAATAGAATTTCAACGATTTATCATGTGATGCACTAAAACTTGTTAGCATACCGGTAGTCAGCATCACCGCAGCATAAATAACAGCCTGTCCCCCCCAAGTCAGCGATTGTTAACGTTTGAGCAGGACTGGGTAATTTTTATGAATTATCTATGCACTATATAGTAGAAATAAACATTTTAGAAGTTCTGACTGATTGGTAGTTTTTTGGCTTGTTTCCAAGACTGCCAATGTCTTTGTCATTGCGATATCAATACCATTAGAAGTATGCTAATTACACATTAGAATTGACTACTGCACAGCAATAATTCTATGGGATACTGTATTTGGATGACATTACCTAGGACTGTTTTGACAATACTCTGGAGTCAACTGGATCATGTTACAACTGCCCCAAAGTTCATTTTGTAATCAGAGAACGGCACAAAGCAAACGAGTCTCGGTGTTAAAACATACAGATAGCGGTGATGGGTCCAGAATGCCCCGGAAAGTTGGCAACATTGGTTCGTTCCTTCAGATCCCAGATCTTGATCATAGAGTCAGCCGTTCCCGTGCCAAAGATCAAACCATCAGGATGAAACTGAGCGCATGTCAGAGCTGCAATAACAATACGTAAAGATCCGAGTCATTCAATGTAAATAAGCTGGGACTTGAAGAGTAGAGAATTGCAATCGTTCCTTGTTGTAACATAAACTAACATAAGCATTATGCAAATAGCACTATATAGCTGTTAAAAAGATATTCACACTCGATTTTAACCAAGCCATACACACGATACAGCCAATACTAAATGAAGTACATAGCAATTAAAAAATTGAATGCCTAACATACCATGAGGGGCACTGCCATCAGCAACCTTGCACAAAACACGTCCGGTGCGAATATCAGAGAAGGCCCAGTGCTGTAAAACAACGCAGACGGTAAACCAGCTAGCCAAACACAAATCATTTCTTGCAGGCTGATGTCAAGTGCCAGACTACGAAAAAGTGGCAATGTGTTGTCCAAAGACGTAGTGAGAATTTCACGCTTGCCGTGAAGATGCGTAGTAGGTGCTCAAGTACTAGTCCTGCATGGTTACATGCTTAACTCCCTCCCACTTCTTCCGCTATCGACACTCAGCATGCAACATTGAGCAGCATCGTCAGGCTTGGATTTTCAACAGATCTAGAAATTCCTCATATATATCTATCCACATGGGTCACGACTAAATCTGGATTCGCAAATCGTCGCGACGTTCCGTTCTGCATCTCGTTCAAACGCCGTGGACACCATAGCACTCGCGTCCGGCCCACGTCCGGGCGGGATGATCTCTTGTTCTCGTACCTCGTCCGTCGAGCAGCTGAGCAGGTAGTCGCCTGTGGCGTGGAGACTGATGCCCGTCACCGCGGCGTCGTGCGCACGAATCGTCTGCACACAGTTCGCACTGCCGACCGTCCAGACCTTGATTGTTGTGTCGGGGCTGGCCGTGAATGCAATCTCCTGCAACAATGCATCCATCCGTAATAATGCAGAGACAATCGACGCCTCTAGAACGACTTCGAAGAAATTCGGCCGAGAAGCATCTTTTTTATATTTACTCGAGTATGTAGTAACGCGAGGCAATCAATCGCTTACTTGCGACGTTAGTTCATTTCCCACACAGTCCCTGCTAGGGCTGGACTGCACTAGTGCTGCTCACTTACCTCCTCAGGGTGATATATAACACTGGTGACCTTCTTGGTGTGGCCTTTCAATATGGCAACCACTTGCTCGGTTTCTTTATTAAAGACGACAGCATTCTTGTCATTTCCACCTGCAAATCGATGACGGCACCATCAAATACACAAGATTGTAGATGAGATTATGATATATCACCTTTAATTGAAACACATTTTGAATAACACAGGACAGCAGCATTTAGCTATCATTACTGCAAGTGCAAGAACAGATCAACTGCTAACAAATGGATTCATTAGAATACAGCTACTGTCCCCATTTTTACGGACTGGTTGTATACAACATGGGCTTCATTAGAATCCAGAAAGATTTTGGCAACCTTACAGTAACATATAGCTACTAATTTTGATTTCCGAATATCCAATCTGAATTCCAATCATCTGAGACAGCCTATCCTAAAACTGCCTTCCCTCGACGTCTATAATGCGGTGTTATCCGTATCTGCTGAAATGATGAGACTAAGAACAATGAAGCTACCTGTTATGACTTTGGATGTATCTGCAGCATGGAGGTCTAACGCCAGGATGCCAGGCACACTAGCGCTATGAAGTCCCTGTAAGCAATAAAAGCAATATAACCTGCATTCGTCAGAAGCAACAGAACTGAAGTGCAACAACATGCGAAAATCATCCTAGACACTCAAACATCGGTTATCACTGCAGACCCAAAACCCCTCGAACGAGACGCTGATACATCAAAACTAACGTTGCAGCTATTCCTCAAGCCTTTAACATTACTTTACTTACTGCAGGTTAACAGCTGACTTCAGGTTTAGGCTCGGGATATTAACATGGCGCGGGTAACTGATGTTTGAGTACCAGGGCACGCTGCCTCAGGGGATTGCACTATAAGTAGGTGTACACAGTCGCGCTTACCGGATGTGACGCAATCTGCTTATAAGCCCTGATGTCATCAGCCTTCACGAGGTCCTCGGGAACCACCTTGCCTCTCTTCTTACGCTCAGCAGTCAGCACCGTAGCTTTGTCCTGCAGCTTCCTAATCACCTCCTCCGTCATGCCGGCGCCCTCACGTGGCTGATCAGCGCGGTCGAACGCTTCCGCCGCGTATTGCTGCAACGTGCAAAAATCGGGTGATTAGTTTCTACTGAGCAAAAGATGACGAGTAGGCGTATCTGTTTACAACGCAGTGCCACAGCACACCATCGACAAGACGCGACCATACGACTTACACTACTCCTGCGAACCCAACATCAACGTGACACACAACAGCTGCAGTTAGTCACGACGGATTTACGCACAACTGTTTGTAACGCAGTGGCACAGACCACCCTCAACAAGAAGTGACTACGTCAGCCTTGGACGCTTATTTTCAGATCTGGTTGTCCTGTCGGGCAACAAGAAGCAATTTTTACTTGACCTAGATTTTACGAGAATTTAGATTTTACGTGACTTACACTACTCCTGCAAACCCAACGTCAACGTGACACACGATAGCTGCGGTTAGTCACGATGAATTTACGCACAAGTGTTCGTCACCGCGGTGCTCACCACTCCACCACATTGCAAAAAGCTTGCGTGTCACCCAACGGTCGCATAAACTCTTTACTGTGACATTGCATTCACAAACCGAGTTGATCACGAGGCCCAGGTCAACTTACGGGATGTGGTATGTTAGCGGTCGCCCCGGCGGTGATGCCGGCCTGCGGCTTGAGCGTAGCCAGCGCTTCTCGGGCGGCCGTCACTTCCTTCGTCAGTCTGGCGATGACGCGGCACGCAGCATCGTGCTGGTATAGGGCGTGAGAAAGCTCCTGACGCGCCGTCTGCAGCTGCTGCCTCAGTGTGAAGCTGTGCAGCATCACGGCATCCTAGCATCATCAACGTTTAAGCTTTAGAGAGACAGCACACACTACAAACTGAGCCGTTACGGCAACGGCGCCAGTCGCGCATGTTTGCTCATTGCAAAGAAGATTTTTGATACTTTCCAAAATCACTTAATTGAAATATAATCAAATTAATTGTTGATCCACCAGCTGTGAATTACAGAGACCAGTTACACAGCTCCTGTATGTATTCTGACTTGCACATAAATTACCATACCCATTCATCCTGCAGGATTTTGAGAATTGCTGGAATGCTAGTGGCCGACGGTGGACGAGGCTTCACAAGAGGTGGGGCTGTGAACGCAAAATAATTATAACGGCGATTAAAAAATAATATTATACATGACTGTTCGGAAGAGTTTGCGTTTATAACTTGTATATTTCGAATTAGCGTTAAACTTATCCAGAAGAGGGCACGAGAGGGAGCGCGGGGAGTGCTTCATAGAGTCACGGGGATTTTCGTCAGTGTATACGTGTCAGCAGGCGTTGGCAGTGCATACGTGTCAGCAAGCGTTGGCAGTGTTTTTTTCGAGTCGTGTATCGAATTACAACCGTCGACAGAGTTTATCGAATAAATAGTTATATAGTCTTTTACTACACACTATGCCGTCTTCTTATCGTATCGTTCTACCGGGCAATTCACTCCAACAAGTGGTCCTTCGAGCCGGATCCCTCCAGCGAACATAGAGGTGCAGAGGTTTGGAGAACACGAGTGCTAACTCCATAACCGAAAAGAGAATGGAGCAAAAAGGTGATCTGAAGAAGGAACGGAGGAGATTGAAGACCAAGTTAACTAGAACCAGGACACAGGTTGTAAAACTTTTAAGTCAAGAAGAAAAAATAGATGAAATGCAGGAAATGATGGACCAGATTCTCAGCGTACAAGACGGGATTCTGTCAGTCCTGTCCGATTTAGAAGCTGTTGACGCAGAGAACGAAACAGAATACGCAACGCAGGCAGATGCCATCCAAGCAGATGTTGACACTGCAAAAGCCCTACGTTTGGCCACGGAGTACATCAGTGAAAATGTAAAGAAACGAAACAGTCATTACTCGTGACGAGCAGAAAGCTGAAGGTGGCGAGTCTGAGTTAAGAGTGGCAGAATTCAAAACAGAAGCAAAGTACAGAATTGATAGCGACATGCATCACAACCTGAATCGCGTACCTTTTCCGACAATTAGAGGAGATAAACAGGACTATCCAATATTCAGAGATGCATTTTATCAGTGTGTTGACAAGGCAAGCTGTGGGCCTAGTTTTAAGATGTTACAACTTCGTCAATACCTGGGAGGTGATGCGAGCAAAATCATCGAGGGGTTTCCTGCCTCTGAAGCAGGATATGAAGCAGCAAAATGTCGACTAGAGAGATACGGGGAAGAACAGCGAATACTTCTCGCCCAGCTTAAGGGGATACACAGGCACTGGATGCATTCCAAAACAAGCTGGCGATAGTGGCCCTCGAAGAAAGTGGTTGCACTGAGGAGCTAGAGAATGACAGTATGTTCTATTGCGTGTCAAAATCGAAATTCCAGCCGTCTCAGATTGCACACTACAAATGGTGGCTCAGTATCCAAGGACGCCCTGAGAACCTACACTCACTACGCAAAAGGATATCGGAGGAACTGCGTATTCGCAGTGAGTCTATCGAAAAAGGACAATCGAATAGTACTCCACGACAAATGGGTCCGCCATCGTCTGCCAGAGGAAAATCGTTTGTAACGCGCGCCGACTGGAATAAGGCCGAGCCAATCATATGCGGCTGCTGTGGCGAACATCACCGCATATATGTTTGCCAGCAGTTCAAATAGACTATAGGCCGTCTTGTCCGTTCTTTCAGTCTTGTGATCCCCTCCCCGGCAGAACATGAAAATCTTTTGTAAATAAAGGGGAAAATATGAAACAACGATTTTCATCTTATCCCACGTCTGAGGCCTGCGAGGTTTTTAGTAATTTGGTGGGAAAATTAGGAAATTCAGCTTATTATTCACCGACAACGCGTAGGTACCGCGTTGCAACGCATGCGCTAAGAGTGAAGTTCTTTGTTGTTGTGAGAGAGATACCAGTGGCCCGGGAAAGTCGGGACCGCGGGCCGCGATCCGGCCGGGAGTGGTTCAATCCGGCCCGACGAAACGGGTTTGAGATGTGATGAACCACGACTTTCGTTAAATTTTTTACAAATTTACCGGAAAAAAATAACAGTACTTTACTGTACAACCTGTAAAGCGGTACAGAGTTACTTAACAGCCCGTTAATCGTATTGGACAAGGCATGTTGAGTCATAAAGCCTCCGATAGGACACAACCTAGCCGGATTCTGTACGTGGCCGGCAGTTATATGTTCGTTACGATTGAGAACGCCGTTACCAGTTCAGCGGACAGCTGGGTACACACTGTACCGTCCTTGTCAAACCGCTTTCCAAGCTCTGTTGGCTACACTTGATGCGCTGCCCTAAACAATTCGCGTTCGAAATGTTTCGAAAACGATGATTCATTGCTGCGCTCTGGCTGGCGTAGCTGTGAAGCGCCATGCAAGCGCATGCGCCTTACGCAAAGCGATTTTTTATTTTTTTTAATTTTAAGTGCTCAGATAATTTTTTTCCAATGTAAAATGGCATCACAGAAACGTAAAAGCTTGACTCCGAAAATCGTGCGTTTATGAGCGACTGACAAGAGACATTTTTTTGTAGAACGAGGAACAATTGTCTGCTTATATGCACAGAACCGATCGCTGGTTTGCCAATAGCAATGTCAAACGTCATACATGTCAAAACCTCTTCCAAGTTTGAATGAGTTGCAAGGAGAACAAAGAGCTGTGAAAGTCAAAGAACTGAAGGGAAAGCTGTCATCTCAACAAAGTGTGTTTACCAAACAGAGACGGAGAATTTCAAAAAATCCCACAAAGGCAGAGCTTACGTAGTTTCAGAGTAATTGCAAAGAGGATGAAACCATTCATGTGACGATGTTGAATTTGTGAAAGACGTGTTGATTGCAGTTTTTGACACAATGTCCTGCAGAAAGCTCCGATTTAAAACAGTCTCAGGTCTGAGCTGCTAGGACAGTCAGTACGGAGGGATCGAGGAATTGTCAAAAATCTGTCTGACCGTTTGCATCAGCAACAGCCTCTCAGTTCAAAGTGTTTTCGCTTGGCACTTGACGATAGAGCACGGACATTTCAGATACATGCTCAGCTGGCCATTTTGTGCGGAGGTTGTGATGCATGCAGTTCAATATAACTGAGGAACTGATTGCTCTGTGCCATGAAAAGACACTTGTACTGGTGGAAGGACGTTTTTCAGGAGGTGTGATTCAGCATGAAGAAAGCGAATCTGAATTATGACAAACTCGTTGCGAATTGCACAGTGGTGCCACCTGCATATGGTCGGGGAGCCAGAAGGATTCAAGGCCATGTTAAAGAAAGAGCTCCAAACCAGAAACATTCCCCAAACGTTGAGATGGTGACACACTGTTATCATACACCAAGATCTTTGTGCACGAAGGTCATTGGTTTCAGGAAATCATGCTAAAATATATCAACTGTTGATATTTCATCCGTCTCAGGCAGTGAACTCATCGCCAATTCAAAGAACTTCTGGAGAATTGGCCTGCGAATATACAAAACGTTCTGTATTTTCTCAAGCTTGAGATGCTGAGTAGAGCCGGCGCACTCTGAAACGGGTGTGGAGCTGACGAGAAGAAAGTGCACAGTCATGATCGAAAGGAAGGCCTCTAACTTGGATTCCCGACGAACAGTGGCTCTGCGACTTCTGCCTCATTTGGGCGACATACTGAAAGTTGAATCAGTTGAATGTGATCTATGCAGGGAAAGCAAAACTCGTTCACAATCTCTTTGGTGATATCAAGTCGTTTGAAACGCAAGCTGCTGCTTTGGAAAAGTCAATGGAGAACAATGTTTTCGATCATTTTCCCTTGTCTGAAAAGTCAGAAAGAATTGAGCCCAGAAGGAGGAAGATACTCCACTGAAATCGAAAACTCACAGCCAGAGTTTTCTCGCGTTTTTCAAAGAGCTTTCGTGCAAAACGAAAATGACTTAAGATCTTCTCAATTGCCTTTTTTCTTCAAGTTGATCCAGTGACGAGCTCCCACGAATCTGCAAGTTGAATTAATTGATCTGCAGAAAACCATGGATTTGAAGGCACAATTCTTGTCAAAAACACTAGTCGAGTTCTACAAGACTGTGTCTCTGATGAATCTTTTTGCAGAACCTTCTTATCATGCAATGGAAAACAGTGACGCCCTGTTCGGCCAGATTATCTTGTGCGCCAATTCTTTTCCAAGTTGAAGTATCAAAAATCGTAAGACAGAAACTCTATTTCAGTATGAACATTGGAAAAACACGCTGAGAATCGCTTCCTCCGGAATGAACAGACAGATGCTGTATTATGAATCGAAGAAGCAGTTTCCATCCTCATTGACAGCGAATTGTACATTATACCGTGAAATACAGTGATTGTTAGCCTGTCATGGGTGCGTTGTTTTAGGATTTTCAATAAATTGTGCTTTTTTTTTTTCGCTTTCTGGCCCCGAGCCGTTCAAAAAATATTTACATTTTGGCCCGCGAATGAAAAAGATTTCCCTGGCCTGAGATAGACTAGCAGGAGTGCAAACAGATCACATGCTGTGATAGTGAAAGGCGACACAGGTTAAGTTAGTACTCTGATGGGTACCATACAGCACCTTGATACTTTCTCTATAAACAAAGATGAAGTGTTGCCTGTTGTTATAGAACTCTTTCCATTAATCATTAATGAGAGAATTCTTAAAACTAATTTAGAATATTAACATTCATACTCTCCCCATCTGCATTTTATTTATGCAACAATGTGTTTGTGTAACACCCATGTACTACATTCAGAGTCAGGGGCCCGTTGTCAGAAACATCGTACACTAGCAATAGACTTTACTAAAGTAGTGTAGTGTACAGTGTCCTGTCAGTACTGACTTATGTGACTATGAGTACTGTGATTCACTGATTGTGAAAACCGGGCGATTGAGCAAATTTGGTTTCCCGGCCGGCACTGTCATAGTCCGTAAAAACGAGACAATTCTTGCGTTTCGATGACGTATGGTGACCCTGACTGCACTACTCTGTAGTTGAAACGTCTTGTGGAATACCACGTTGTCACACCAGTCACCACCACTAGGCACTTGAAGCGTTTCAATAAAATTTATAATGCTAACAAGAGCCGCACAGATCTGGGCTCATCTGGGGTCTGTGGCTCGGTTCCATGAACGTACAATTTCAGTCGTGCGTAGTGAACATTTTAGGCGCAGAT